ACAGTTTATCAATAAGGATTAAAAGCCTTAAAATAATCTTATCTTTTGACCCACTTCCAAGAATTTATCTGGAGAATATAATTAGATGTTAGCCCATATAATTATGTTTAAGGATGTTTCTCACACTGTAGTTTGTGAGGGGTTGGGGGTACTAAACACTTAAATGTTTGAGAGTAAAGGTAAAATTAAAAATAACAATGCTCTCAAATACAATAATTGAAAGTAAACTTCCAAACTAGTTAAGAATGATGGGAAATAGTCATAATGTGTGATTATATAAGGAGGTTGTTATAAAAAGCAACATGTATAGTTTGGTATCAATTATATAAAAATGTCTCTTATTGAGAAAATATTCAGAATTATACACAACAAATTTTTATAGTGTTTATCACTGGGTGGTAGAATTCAAATGGCATAAAGCTTATTTTATGTATTCTTAAATTTAAGCCATAGGTATTATCATATTATCCCCATTTTAAAATTTTACACAGCTAATAAATGACTAAGGCAAGATTTGAAAAATAAGATGGTTCTCTTTCTCGAAACTATGTTTCTGCTTGCTACACTAGCAAGACAAGAACAGTTCAGGACTTCATGTTTGTAGTCTGGTAACCACCATAATTAGCATTTCTGTTTGTCCCTCTAATATGCCTTAATCACTTATACTCCAGAAGCTGTGGTAAACACTCTGTATGCATTATCTCATAACTTCCCATAACTCAGTGAAAGTAGTAGTCTCATTTTAGTAATGAAGAAAATAAAGGTTAAAGATGTTAAGGTTTCTTGTCCAGTCTCTGAGCTAGACAGGAACACAGCTGGATTATAGCATGTCTCTTTGATTCCAGAACCCTGTGCCTTTTCGACTCCAGTTAACTGACTTACAGTTAACTGTAAGAAGTATACTTACATATTAATCACACCTTTATAAAACCTTGAAATACTGCTTTGAAGTAGGCAGCTCTGCTTTTTTTTTTTAGATTTATTTATTTATTTTAGAGAGAAAGAGTGAGCAAGCTGGGGGAGGGGGGAGGGAGAGAGACTCTTGAAGCAGACTCCCCGCTGAGCATGGAACCCGATGAAGGGCTGTATCCCATGACCCTGAGATCATGACCTGAGCCAAAATCAAGAGGCTGCCCAACCGACTGAGCCACCCAGGTGCCCCTCTGCTTTTTACTGTGTGGTCAACTCACAACATCCCAGAAGTGGATTGACCTGTTTGTGATTTACTTTTGTATCAACAAATAACTAAGTAAAAAGGCAGGAGTTTGTTTCAACTTAATATTACCCAACTTCAGCAAAAGTAGCCACAAGGGAAAAGGTGTATATTCTTTGGGGTTACAGAACAATCAGTGGATGAAATATTTTCAAATGCACCTACCCTATAGAATGGGAACTCCCCTTGTCAATCAGAAAAAAAAAAAAACAGTTCAACAGCTATGTCTAGAACAGTGGAACAGAGGGCTAGGAAATCAGGACATGGAGACATTTTAATTATGAGAGTAGATTTAGGTGAGGAATGAATTTCATGAGGTTGATGTCTCTAGTTCTTTCAAAGCTATATAGGAAAAGATATGCCTACTTAGGAAGTCTTATTTCATAGCCAGTACAAACAAGATGCACAAATATTTTCTCTCTCCTGACACTAATGTTTAGGTAATAAGACGTATAGGAGCCTTCCTGAATCATCAACTAACTGGTTTTCTCCATGAGAGGTCTTTTGCCTAAGCCTCCCTGGAGTACTTAGCTCTAAAATGAGAGCTGCAATAACTTGTCTGCTGACTTTGTGCATCTGTTTATGGGATGTGAAAGTAAACTCAATAAATCAGTGTGTCAGCATACCAGTTAAATGGTTCAGATAATTGTTCTACTTGATATTTATACATTCGATCAATGATAGGCTCACATCAAACCAGTTCTGTGCTTAGACATGAAGGCTGGCAGAGAAGACACATCAAGACATATCAGATAAAGGGCTAGTATCCAAAATCTATAAAGAACTTATCAAACTCAACACCCAAAGAACAAATAATCCAATCAAGAAATGGGCAGAAGACATGAACAGACATTTTTCCAAAGAAGACATCCAAATGGCCAACAGACACATGAAAAAGTGCTCAACATTGCTTGGCATCAGGGAAATCCAAATCAAACCCTCAATGAGATACCACCTCACACCAGTCAGAATGGCTAAAATTAACAAGTCAGGAAATGACAGATGTTGGCGGGGATGCGGAGAAAGGGAAACACTCCTACACTGTTGGTGGCAATGCAAGCTGGTGCAGCCACTCTGGAAAACAGTATGGAGGTTCCTCAAACAGTTGAAAATAGAGCTACCATATGATCCAGCAATTGCACTCCTGGGTATTTACCCCAAAGATACAAATGTAGGGATCCGAAGGGGTACATATACCCCGATGTTTATAGCAGCAATATACACAATAGCCAAACTATGGAAAGAGCCTAGATGTCCATCAACAGATGAATGGATAAAGAAGATGTGATATATAGATATATATTATATATATACACACACACACAATGGAATATTATGCAGCCATCAAAAAAATCCCAAAACTTGCCATTTGCGACCACGTGGATGGAACTGTTATGCTGAGCAAAATAAGTCAATCAGAGAAAGACATGTATCATATGACCTCACTGATATGAGGAATTCTTAATCTCAGGAAACAAACTGAGGGTTGCTGGAGTGGTGGGGGTGGGAGGGATGGGGTGGCTGGGTGATAGACATTGGGGAGAGTATGTGCTATGGTGAGTGCTGTGAATTGTGTAAGACTGATGAATCACGGATCTGTACCTCTGAAACAAATAATACATTATATGTTAAAAAAAAAAAAAGATAGTAGGAAGGGAAAAATGAAGGGGGGGAATCGGAGGGGGAGATGAACCATGAGAGACTATGGACTCTGAGAAACAAACTGAGGGTTCTAGAGGGGGGGGGGTAGGGGGATGGGTTAGCCTGGTGATGGGTATTAAGGAGGGCACGTATTGAATGGAGCACTGGGTGTTACACGCAAACAATGAATCATGGAACACTACATCAAAAACTAATGATGTAAAGTATGGTAATTAACATAACATAATAAAATAAAATTTAAAAAAAATAAATGAACCATTAAAAAACAACTGTTATTTGAACACATTTAAAGTCAAATTTACTCATTAATATCCCACCTCCAAGCACCCCCCCCCCACAGGTTATGTGTGTAGCAGAAGGAACACAGGATTGGGAGTTGGAACATTAATAATAATAATGCTAATATTAAATAACTACAACGGCTAATATTTATTAAGGACTTTTCAGAGATTTTGTTGATGATCTATATTGTTTTAGCCTCACAACAACTCTAAAAAGGTAGCGTCTGTGTTTATTCCCATCTCATAGGTGTGGAAATGGAGGCTTGGAATGACCAAGTGATTTCCCTGTTAATATATGGTTGGGGAAGCAGTGGGCAGGAATTATATAGTGTCCACCACACTGTGAAGCACTAGGCTATGTTGTACAGAATGGAAGCATGCACAAGGGACTATAGAAGCCACGAGACAAGTTTGTCAGGTAGAGAACAGGTTCACATTACTGGGGAATGAATTATCATATGCATTAGAGACCATGAATTTTGTGCTTTCCTCAATGCTTTATGCTTAAGAAAAAATACAATAAAACTGAGACTCCTGTGCTCAGATCCTAACAAACTATAAAATACCCGTCCCTTCTGTGCTGTTTCTAGCCCTTCGCCTTCCCAAGTCCTTTTCCTCCATTCCCACCAGCATGTAGACTTCTTAATCTCACCCAGTGAGCCCATCAGAATATGAATATTTTGAGCGGCTGTCACTCTTCTTAAAAGAAAAAACAATAACAAAAATAAAGCTCTGTTGTATTTATTAAATGATTTCTGTTGCTTGTGGACTTTTTTTAACTGAGTCGTTGCTGTTGACTTCCTTGAAAGATACAAATGAAGAGTTGGGATCAGGGTCTCAGTCATGGAAACCTGGATGATTTGATTAATCCCTTGATGCCAAAGGCAGTTTAAACACAAAAATTACAATAATCTACCCTTTGTTGTTTAAAGGTTTCAAACTATTGTGTGAGGTTAAAATTTCCTATTTTGTGGCTTACCGGAAAATCAAATTTTAAGCACGTTGATTAATCCGAGGCCATATCAAGGGAGTGGCTATTTCTTCAGTGTCTTGTCAGTCCCAATTACAAGCTGTCCTGTGGAGGCTTTCTTGACAGAAATAAATGTAATCCTCTGTTGCATCTCACTATATGAATGTTAACCCAGAGGGGGACAAAAATGTTCAATTTTATTTATTTATTTTTAGATAAAAGTTACTTCTATTGCTTTCAGATAACAATCACTTCATTATATGCAGCCCAGAGCCAATATGATGCATGTTGTCAAGTTTAATGGATGCAAGATTTTTCAGAAACCACAAAGGTTTCTATTGTAACTTCCCGCCATGAACTAGAAAATAGGCAAATTTCCTGAAAGTCTGAAAAAAAAAAAAAAGGAAATCCTAGTGAACACCATTCAGCTATCAAAAACATTTCCTGGCTCACCAATAAAAAAGTTAGTTTTCTTTGCCAGACCACTATTATTCAGACTAAAACATACCTCCTACCTTTTATGTTAATCTGCCCAACTCATTCAAATAACATAAGAAGGTGCAATAGATTCTTAAAAATTGACAGCAAAATTATCAAAATGTCACTGACATTATATGACTAAATGCCACTTAGGTGAATCATCCATAGAACTCTTAACCAATGACACAGGAAGGCATCCCTCAAACCCCACCTCTAGGCAACCCTCTTAAATCAATCAAAAAAAAAAAAAGAAAGAAAAAAACCGATGAGAAGTTCTTATAAAGAGATGAGTTGTCTTTTTTTTTTTAATCATTATGCAGACTCAGGCATTTAAAGAGTTGTCTAAAAACCCTCCAGTCAAATGCTTCATGCAGCATTCAATATGTAACACTCTAGCTAATGGAAAAAAAGCAGGCAGTGGAAGGGAGAACTTTCTGTTGTCATGCTGAAGAGTGCTTTAAAGAAGATTGTCATTTGCAATTCTGTTGTCAGCAATGAAGGATTCCAAATGCAGCTGAACCCAGAATTCTGACCGTGGTATGTTTCACAGTACATCCATCTAGGAATTCTATATTACTTTTCTGTTTCCTTAAAACTATGTAGAGAAGCCAATTAAGAATAATTGATATTGGTTTCAGAATGGGGGATGAGTGTATCTCTTATTTCAAAATATTAGAAATGCATTTTTAAAAATAAGAAATATATGATCTAAATTGTTATATTGTGAGCATCTGTGTTTATCTTGCATGTAAAACAAATGGCACCTCCTTGAAGTTTTGATTATTTTTAAATGCATTTGATTATTGGTTTCATTGAAATTGTTACAAATTCCACTGTAAAATTAATTCTTGATTCAAGAATATATAAAATACAATTATTTATAAAACTATGTATTTTTAAAATGTTATTAAGAAATTATTTTTATACAAGATATTTTAGTAAAAAATTTCAGTCAAAATAGAAAATCTGAGAAAAACAGCTGAATTTAAAGAAGCATAACTCGCAGCATAACATGTTAAAGTAAACAAGTGACACAGCTGTGGAAGTCACTGTGATTTAAGCTATGGAACAAAATGTTTCAACCAGCTAGCTTTACTTTCTCCTGGTTTAAAGGTGGTAAAATTATTATTGTTTCCATTCTAGAGGCTTCATTTTAATTTCTTTGTTTAAAAAATATTAACTGCTTCCCTTTGGAGATCAGAGGTTCAGTTTCTAAATCTGCATTTATGGTTAGATCACTTAAAATGGATATGGAAATAAGTGTCCTTTTCTTTAAGAAAAAGTAAGTACTTAAAAGAGTCCTTATATAGTATTTAAAATATAAAAATCAGTGAACAGGAAAGGTATACTCAAATATATTCTCTGTGGAAGTAAATTACTAAGATGATATTTAAAGCTCACATATTTTTAAAATGTTTATGTCATTGAGAACCCACCAGAAATCATAATCTATGCTCCATCAGAGACTGTTCCTACTTAGAAAGGCTTGGCTTTTGGTTTTCTTTAGCTGAACCACAAAACCTTTGATTTTGAGTAAATAAAAGTGGGTGGAGAGAGAATAATAGAAGGTAGCCTAAAAAGCAGCACTTAGTGCAATGCTTATCACATTATAGAAATGCATCAGTATTTTGTTTCTCTCCTCTCTTTTTAGTTCCTTCCTAACTTTTTAAAAGAATATTTACACTTGCTTCATAATTTTGACTCTTTCAGTGGATACATACATCTTATCATATGGTATTCAAAACCACATTTTATCCACTTATGCAGGTCAGATAACTCAGGTGTTTGGGATCCAGGCTGAAGTCTTGTCTTCAATGAATAATTTTCTATCTTTTCTGTGACCCCACTGATACTGTGTTGCTCAATGAGTCAGCTCTATTTTATAGGACACTCCAAGTGTGAAAACCTAATGATTCCCCTTAAATAAAGTAACTAGAATCACCATGGCAAATTTCAACTCAAAGGCAAAGTGTCAGATAAATCATCCAGATCAATTCATTGTTTGAACCATCTTGAGAGAAGAAGGGAATGCAAATGTTCCATAATTATACCTGAATTTAACTGAATTAATACTCAGCCATCAGTATGAAAGTAGCTTTATATTTGAAGACTCTTTTCAGGAAAGAGTATGTGCTGCATAATTATACTTCACATCCACAAGAAATATGCATGCTTTACTACCTTAAAAGCAAACTTATAAGCAGAACTATCACTAATTATTAGATTAAAATATATAAAAAATTTCTTTTGGGGACATTTTTTTCTTTGATAAAATGAGAGACTACATTTAGTGATATGTAAGTGATATATTGTATATCACTATACCTCACATTCTTAGAAATTTTGGCTGCAGCCACTTCTAAACAAAGTAGGTATGTTTTTTATTCTAACAAGATACCTTACAGCAGTTGTTGTCAGACTGAGAAGAGCAGAATCACTTGTAGGGCTTGTTAAAAAAAACAAACAGATGACCAGCCTCTACCCCCAGAGCTTCCAATAACAATAATTCCAGTTGAAGCCTGATAATTTGCATTTCTAACAAGTTCTCAGATGACGTTGATGCTCCTGGTGCTGGCCCTACATTTGAGAATGACTGCTTCAAATTTTCTCTTAGCCTCTCCAGTGGACTGTGCATTTTGAGAGCCTACCATGTGCCAGACTCTATACTAAGGCTGGATATGCATTCGTGAATAAAAGAGGCAAAATCTCTATGCTGGCAAAGTTTGTAGTCTAGTGGAGGAATCAGAAAATAAATAAGTAAACCAACCCAAATATCTGTTTACAAGTTGTCGTTAAGTGGGTCCTTAGGAGAGGAAGGGGAGCTACTTGGGGCAATCTCTCAGAAGAGATTGAAGACAGGAAATGAAAGAGGGGAGGTCAGCTGAAGAGGGAAGAGTGGGAGAAAGATGCATTCCCGGCAGAGTGCCCTCGAGGAGGGCCTTGGGGTGGGAAAGAGCTTGGTGTGTTTGAGAAACTGATATGTGGCCTGTGTGGCAGGAACACAGAGACTGAACACCAGGATGGCCGAGATGAGAGGAGAGAAAGAGGTAAGCAAGCGCAATGCTGTAAAGGCTTGTGATGGGGAGTTTGGATTTTATTCTCACTTTGAAGGGCTTTGAACAGATGTCTGTTTTCATGAGATCACTCTATACATGAGGGTGGGGGAACAATGGTGGAAAGTGGGGATGATATTACAGCATTCCAGCCGGAAGAGGACTATGATTTAGCTGGGAATGGTTGCAGTTGAGCTGGGTGCATCAGTTTCTAATATCAAAATGTGGAAAGCACTTAGATACCTAACCACAGAGATGACAGTTATTTAAAAAATCACCTTGAGGTTGATTATAATGACATGGAAACATGTCAAGGAAATAAAAAGAGAAAGCAGTTTTGAAAGCAAAATTATAATCGTGTGTGTGTGTGAGAGAGAGACCAATTATAATAGTAAGATTACAGGTGATTTTTATTCCCTTTATTTTTTATGCAATATGAAAAGAGGCCCATTATCATAAAATTCCTAAATTCAAATATTTAATGAGAAAGAAAAAGCTATGCCTTTGAGAAGGCAATCATGATTTGAATGATTAATTAAGTCAGTTGTGGGGGGGGGTGTGTGTGCGCATGTGTGTGTGTGCACGTGTGCGTGTGTGTGTGCACGTGCATGCACACATACACATTCCAGACACGATGCAATGTACAGTGGATACAAAATGAATAAAATCTAGTTCTTGTCCTCAAAAAGTTTGCAGTTTAGGGCACCTGGGTGGCTCAGTCGTTGGGCGTCTGCCTTCGGCTCAGGTCATGATCCCAGGGTCCTGGGATCGAGCCCCACATCGGGCTCCATGCTCCGCAGGAAGCCTGCTTCTCCCTCTCTCACTCCCACTGCTTGTGTTCCCTCTCTCTGTCAAATAAATAAATAAAATCTTAAAAAAAAAAAGTTTGCAGTTTATTGGATAATAGGGAAATAAGAGCAATGGATCTCAAATGTTAGAGTAAGAATTATCCTTTATGCTGTTCGACAGCCCTTCCAGGTACCAATAGCTCCTATCACAAACACCCTAATAAATCTTGAATATACTCTCCTTTTTCCATGCCCCTTGCCTTTGCATGTAGAGTTTTCTTCCCCTCCTCCCATTCATTTTTTCAGGAATCGAATCACATACTATTTTTAAATACATTTTTAAAGAGGAGTTATAGGTTTACAACAGAATTAAGCAGGAGATAAAGAGATTTCCTGTACCTCCTGTGCCCCCACATGCATAGCTTCTCCCACTGTCAACATCACTCACCGAAATGTACATTTTTTACCAAGGGTGAACCTGTATTGACACATCATGATCATCAAGTCCATAGTTTACGGTTCACTCTTGGTGGTGTACTGTCTATGGGTGTGGACAAATGTTTAATGACATGTAGCCATCATTATAATATCATACAGAGAACTCTTCCGTAAAAATCCCTTTTGCTCTGCATATTCATCTCTTCCCACTTCCAAGCCCTTCCCCCAACCTATACAGCAACCACTGATCTTTTTATTTGTGTTTTTATTGTTTGCATAGCTTTGTCTCTTCCACAATGTCATATAGTTGGGATTATACAGTACATCGTCTTTTCAGATTGGCTTTTTTCACTTAGTAATACCCATTTAAGGATCCTCTATGTCTTTTCACAGCTTTATCACTCATTTACTTGTAGTGCTGGATAATATTCCATTGTGTGGAGGTACCAGAGTTTAGTTATCCCTTCACTTACTGAAGGACGTCTTGGTTGCTTCCAAGTTTGGGCAATTATGACTAAAGCTGCTCTCAACATCCATAGCAGGTTTTTGTGTGGACACAGGTTCTTAGCTCCTTTGGGTAAATACCAAGGAGAACAGTTTCTGGATCACACAGTAAGAGTATGTTTAGTTTTGTATGAAACCCCCAAACTGCCTTCCAAAGTGGCTATTTTGCGTGCCCACCAACAATGAGTGAGAGCTTCTGTTGCTCCACATCTTTGCCAGCATTTGAGTTTTCGGTGTTTCGGGTTTTGGCCATTCTAATAAGATGTGTAGTGGTAACTCATTGTTTTGATTTTCATTTCCCTGATGACATATGATGTGGAGTATCTTTTCATATGTGTAGTTGTCACTTTACATCTTCCTTGGTGAGGTGTCTGTTAAATGATCACATACCATTTTTTAATTGGGTTGTTTTTTTATCTTTGAGTTTTAAGAGTTCTTTGTTGATTTTCGATAAGTCCTTTATCAGATGTGTCATTTGAGAATACTTTCTCCCAGTCTGTGGCTTGTCTTTCCTTCTTTTGATACTGTATTTCCCAGAGCAGAAACTTAATGAAGTTCTGCTTATGAATTATTTCTTTCATGAATCGTGTCTTTGGTGTTATATCTATAAAGATATCAGCATATTCGAAGTCATGTAAGGTTTCTCCTGTGTTACCTTCTAGGAGTTTTATAGTTTTATGGGCTACTTTTAGGCCTATGATCGATTTTGAATTATTTTTGTGAAGAATGTAGGTCTATGTCTGGTGGTGGCTTC